TTTGCAGCAGTAAATCCTTCTAGCTGCAAGTTTGGGGGGAGCTTTTTAAATTTTACATTTATTAACTTTTTTCTGCTTTTTAAGTTTTTTTTTAAAAAAAACTAATATACTTTTTAAGTATAGTTTTAGGCTTATAGAAAAAAATTGAATAAGAAGTACAGACTTTGCATATACCCCTCAACTTCCATCAATTTCTCCTATTTTTAACATCCTGCATTAATGTGGTACCTGTCTTAGAACTGACTAGCCAATATTGATACATTATTATTAACTGAAGTCCAAGTTCACATTATGGTTCACTCCCTGTGTCTCACATTCTATGGGTTTTAACAAATGTACATGTATACACCATTACAGTATCATACAGTTTTAGATTTACAAAATTTTTGCAAAGATAGTACAGAGAGTTCCCAGTTATAATGTATATAATAAAACTATACCTAGTTTTCCTCATTATATACATCTTACATTATTACAGTGCATTTGTCACCATTAATGAACCAATATTGATACTTCCTATCTGAAATCTATACTTTATTGATTTTCTTAGTTTTTATCTAACGTCTTTTGTTGTGGTTGTTGTTCCAGGATACCACATTACATCTAGTCTTCACATCTCCTTTGGCTCTTCTTGGCTGGAACAGTTTCTCAGATTTTCCTTATTATTGATGACCTTGAAAGTTTTTAGGTATTTTGTAAAATGTGTCTCCCTTGGGATTTTTCTGATGTTTTCCTCATCAGTAAACTGGGGGAATGTGTTTGTGGGGAAGAAAACCACAGAGGTAAAGTGCCATTCTCATCACATCCTATCAAGGATGCATACTATCGTTGTGATACATCGCTGCTGATGTCAACCTTGATCATCTAGCTTGAGATACCTTTGTCAGGTCTCTCTATTGTAAACTTACTCTACCTTATTTTTCTGCCTTTCCATACTGTGCTCTTTAGAAGAAAGTCACTATGCAGAGCCCATGTTTAAGGACTAGTGAACATGCTCTTAAGGGCAGAAAATCTACACAAATTATTTAGAATTCTTTTGCACAGTACATTTGTATATTTTCTCCCTATTTATTTGTTTATTCATTTATTTACATGCATATGGGCTCCTAGATATTTATTTTATACTTTGGGTTATAATCCAATGCTACTTAATGAATTGTTTAAATTTTTCCAACTTTCACCATTAGGGGCTCTTTCATTTGGCTTGAATGTTTTGACATACCCCATCATTGTAGGTTTGGTTTTTTTGTTTTGGCTTGGTTTGGTTTCTTTCTTTCTTTTTTTTTTTTCTTGCTCTTCCTTACTTTGTGCACTACAAGATGCTCCAGACTTATCTTGTGTATTTACTTCCCCAGTCCTAGAATCAGCCATTTATCCAAGAAGCCCTGGTTCCTTTTACAAGAGAATGATTTTAGAAACCAAACTTCAGACACTAAGCTGATCATTGCTTCTGGAATGTCATTGTTTCTAGGTGCTCTCAGTGGACAGAGATATATGTGCTTATTAAACCATGTATATATGCATATCTATAAATATTTCTACATGTAACCATCCATATATATATATATTAAGCTAAACATAACTTCACACTGATATCCAACACTAATCCATTACCATATAGATCATTCTAGTCTCTTCCTTCTTGTTTATCTATACCAATAATGAGAAACATGAGTCCACTATCTGCTATCCATTACTTAATTGTTCATTTCTAGTGTACATGTATGGAGGTTTCAGAATCGTTAACGTATACGTCTGTGGGAAAGAACCTTATGAACTAGAGTACAGTTCTTCTGTGCAGTCGCTTTTGTCTTCAGTTTTACAGACTCATATTTCCAAAATATTGCTTAGCTCAGCATCATATTCCCTACCCCTTCAATGAGATTTCATATATTTATACTTAGATACTTTTATTACATTTTACATTCTATCCTGAGATCCCTTGAGCTCCTAAATGATTTTTTAAATTTATATACTTTAAAGTTTGTGCTATGAAGTTCTATGGTTTTTGTTGAATGTTTAATGTCTTATATTTATCGTTATAGTACCATACAGGGTAGTTTCACTGCTCTATAAATTTCCCTGTGCTTCACTTGTCCAACCTCCTCTTCTCCCTACTGAAGTTACTGAAGTCCAAAATATTGATTTTTCTCTTCTTATTATTAGTATTGCATTTGAACCTCATTTCCCAACCTAAGGTCATGTAGTTTTTTCCTATGTTTTCTTTAATGTGTTTCATAATTTTGCCATGTACACTTAGGTCTATTTTCCATTTTGAGTTAATTTTTGTATAAGGTGTAATGTTTGTATCTAAGTCCATTTTTTGACACATGGGTGTCCTGTTGTTCTAGTACCATTAGTGGCTTGCTCCTTTGCAAAAAGATAGCTGTGTGGATATGTTTCTAGGCTTTCTATCCTTTTCATTTATCTGTGTGTCTATTCACTTACCTATACCATGCTCTCTTGATTAATGTAGCCTTTAGTAAAACTTGAAACCAGGTAGTTAGTGCTTCAACTTTTTTTCTTCTTCTTCAGGATTGTTTGGGCTGTTCTAGGTCCTTTGTCTTTCCATATAAACTTTATAATTAGTTTGTCAATATCCACAAAATAACTTACTGGAATTTTGATTGGGCTTGAATTAAATCTGTAGATCAAGTTGGTAAGAATTAACATTTTAGCAGTATTGAATCTTTTAATCCATGAACGTGAACCTGATTTGATTTTTTCCATCACTGTTTTGTAGTTTTCTGCATATAAGTCTTGTATATATTTTCTTAGGTTTATGCCCAAGTATTTCCTCTGTGAGAGTGCTATTGTGGATAGTATTTATTTTAAAATTTAAGTTCCAATTGTTCTTTGCTGGCATATAGGAAAATAATTGATTTTGGTATATTATATTACATAATGTCACTATTTTTATATATTATCATTATATTCTGCAACCTTGCTATACTTATTTTATTAATTACATGAGCCTCTTTTGTCAATTCTATGGGATTTTCTACATAGACAATTATGTCATATACAAACTGAAACAATTTTATTTTTTGCTTCCCAATGTGTATCCTTTTATTTCCTTGGTTTATCTTATTGCACCAGCTAGAACTTCCAGTACATGTTGAATGAGAACAATAAGAGAAGATATCCTTCCTTTGCTGCTGATTTTAGAGGACAAGTGTTCAGCTAATATGATATTAGCTGTAGATTTTTTGTGGATATCCTCTGTTAAATTAAGAGTTCCCTTCTAATCCTAGTTTGCTGAGAGTTATTAACATGAATAAGTACTAGATTTTGTAAAATGTCTCTTGTGTAATTGATATGATCATATGATGTTTCTTCTTTAATCCATTGTCATGATGGACAACACTGCTTTGAGTGCATCCCACAAATTTTGACAAGTTGTATTTTCATTTTCATATAGTTCAAAATATTTAAAAATTTCTCTTGAGACCTCTTTGATTTGTCTGTTATGTAGACATGTGTTGTTTAATTTCCAAATATTTCTGAATTTCCCAAGTATATTTCTATTATTGATTTCTAGTTTAATTCCACTGAGGTCTGAGAATATACTTTGTGTGATTTAAACTTATTAAGTTGGTTTTTATGGCTTAAAATGTTGCCTATGTTTGAAAATGTTCCATGTGAGCTTGAGAAGAATGTGTATTCTGCTATTGTTGGTTGCAGTATTCTATAAATTTCAGTTAGAGAAAATTGACTGTAGTGCTATTCAAATAAACTATATATTTATTAATTTCTCTGCCTGCTTAATCTATCAAATACTAACAGGGGCATGTTAAATTCTTCAGGCGTAATAGTGGATTTGTCTACTCCTCCTTCAGTTATATGAGTTATTGCTTCATGTTTTTGATGCTCTGTTGTGAGATACATACAAGGTTAGGATTGTTATGTCTTCTTTGAAAATTTACCCATTAATTATTATGCAGTGCCATTGTTTATCTTTGACAATTTTCCTTATTCTGAAGTCTGCTTTGTCTGAAATTAATACATCTATTCCAGTTTTCTTTTGATTAGTGTCAACCTGGTCTCTTTTTCTATCTCTTTAATTTTAAATTGTCAGAGTCTTTATATTTAACGTGGGTTTTATGTAAACAACATATACTTGGGTCTTGTTTTTTATGTGACAAGCTCTGTCTTTTAGTTGGTATATTTAGACCACTCATTTAAAGCAATTGTTGATATATTTGCTTTAACACCGACCATGTTCATAACTGCTTTATGCTTTCCCTGGTTTTAATTATTTGCATGGTTCAATTTTATCTGTTCTTTTATATACTTCTTTTTATAAAAACATTGTGGTTGCCCTAAAGCTTATGATGTATATATATATTTTTTGAGTCAGAGTCTAACTCTGTCACCTGGGCTAGAGTGCTATGGTGTCAGCCTAGCTCACAACAACCTCAGACTCCTGGGTTCAAGGGTTCTTCCTGCCTCAGCCTCCTGAGTAGTTAGGACTACATGCAGGGGCCACCACACCTGGCAAATTTTTCTATTTCTAGTAGAGACAGGGTCTCACTCTTGCTCAGGCTGGAACTCCTGAGCTCAAGTGATCCTCCCACCTCGGCCTACCAGAGTGCTAGGATTACAGGTGTGAGCCACCATGCCCATACTACAATGTACATTTTTAACTAATCTAAATCCACCTTCAAATGACACTATTCTGCTTCACAGGTAGTGCAGGTACCTTATAAGAATATTCCCTTTTCCTCCCTCTCATCCCTGTGACATCACTGCTATTCATTTCACTTATCCATGTGCTATAATCACCTAATACATTCATACTAGTATTAAATTATACAGTTATCTTTTAGATAAATTAAGAATAATAAAGATACAATATTTATTTTACTTTAATTAATTACTTTTCCAAGATAATTCATTTCTTTACATATAAATATGTAGCCATGTGTTGCTTAGTGACAGAGATACATTCTGAGGCAATTTCATCATTGTGAGAACATCACAGAATGTACTTACACAACTCCTAGATGGTAGAGCCTACTACACATCTGGGCTATACAGTATACCCTATTGCTCTTAGGCTACAAACCTGTACAGTATGTTACTATACTGAATAGTGTAGGTAATTTTAATGCAATGATAATATTTGTGTATCTAAACATAGAAAAGGTACAGGAAAAATATAGTACAAAAGACAAAAAATGGTACATCTATAAGGGCACTTGCCATGAATGGATCTTAAAGGACTGGAAGTTGTCTAAGTGGTTCAATAAGTGAGTGGTAAGTGAAAGTGAAGCCTAGGATATTACTATACATTACTGTAGACCTTATAAACACTGTGCATTTAAGCTATACTAAATGTATTAAAATTTTCTTCCTTTAGTAGTAAACTAACCCTAGCTTACTATAAATTTATAAGCTTTTTTTAGTTTTTGACTCTAAAATAATAATACTTACAAATAGCTTAAAACACATCATGCATGTTTATAGCAGCACAATTCATAATCGCAAGGCTGTGGAAACAGCCCAAGTGCCCATCAATCCAAGAATGGATTAATAAAATGTGGTATATGTATACCATGGAGTACTATTCAGCTCTAAGAAACAATGGTGATATAGCACATCTTATATTTTCCTGATTAGAGCTGGAACCCATATTACTAAGTGAAGTATCCCAAGAATGGAAAAACAAGCACCAGATATATTCTCCAGCAAACTGGTATTAACTGAGTAGCACCTAAGTGGACACATAGGTACTACAGTAATAGGGTATTGGGGGGGGGAGGGGGGGCGGGTATATACATACATAACGAGTGATATGTGCACCATCTGAGGGATAGTCATGCTGGAGACTCAGACTTGTGGGGGGAGGGGGGGAGGGCATTTATTGAAACCTTAAAATCTGTACCCCTATAATATGCCAAAATTAAAAAAAAAAAAAAGAAAGAAAATCTGGGACAAAAACAGAAACTGTCGAAGATACTCTGTGCAAGTTGAGATAAGGTTCGTGGAGGAGAATTTACAAAAGGATTCAAAATGTGATTAAGTTGGCTATAATGAATGATAAATCTCTGGTTAAAACAAACAAACAAAAAAAACCACATCATGCAACTGTATACAACTTTTTAACATTTATATCCTTATTCTATAAGCTTTTTTTCCATTTTTATAATTTTTTTTTTTTTACTTTTTAATCTTTTTTGTTAAAACCAAAGACACAAACACACACATTAGTCTAGGCTCGTACAGGGTCAGAATCATCAATATCATTGTCTTCCACCTCCACATCTTGTTCCACTGTAAGGTCTTCAGAGGGCAATATCAGACATGGAGCTGTCATCTTATATGAAACAATGCCTTCTTCTAGAATATCTCTTGTAGGACCTGCCTGAGGCTGTTTTACAGTTAACTTTTTTTTATAAGTAGAAGGAATATACTCTCAAGATAAATAATAAAACATATAGTATAGTAAATACATAAACCAGTAACATGGTCATTTATTATTATTTTCAAGTACTATGCATTGTGCAAATTGTATGTGCTAGACTTTTATAGGACTGGCAGCATGGTAGGTTTGTTTACATCAGCATCATCTCAAACAGGTGAGCACGCTATGACGTTACAATGTTACCATGGCAAAGATATCATTAGACATCACTAGAGGATAGAAATTATTCAGCTTCATTACAATGTTGTGGGACCACCACTGTATATGCAGTCTGTCATCAACTGATACATCCTCATGTATATACATAACTATAGATCCAGGATTCTGACCTATATCAGTTTTTTTTTTCCCCTGAAGAATTTGTTTTAACATTTACTGAAGCACAGGTCTGGCTGGGGATAATTTCCATCAACATTTATTTGTCTGAGGAAGTTTTGATTTCTCCTTCAATTTTAAAGGATATTTTCACTGGATATAGATTAATATTTTGTTTGGGTTTTTCCTATCAACAATAAACAATTTGAATATTTTATGCCATTCTCTTCTTGCTTGCATGATTTCTGATGAGAAATCTGATGTAATACCTATCCTTACTCTTCTATAGATAAGGTAATGTTTTTCTCTGGCTTCTTTCAAGAGTTCTGCTTTCTTTGTTTTTGATTTAAATAGTTTAAATATGATGTAGTTTAAATATGATGCAACTAGATGTACGGTTTTTGCTTTGAGTTTTTGGTTTTTGTATTTTTGTGTGTGTGTATTTATTCTGCTTAATGATCTCTGTACTTCCTAGATCTGTAGATTGAAGTCTGTCATTAATTTTGTGAAGTTCTCAGATTTTTTTTTTTTTTTTTTTTTTTGAGACAGAGTCTCACTTTGTTGCCCAGGCTAGAGTGAGTGCCGTGGCGTCAGCCTGGCTCACAGCAACCTCAATCTCCGGGGCTCAGCGATCCTACTGCCTCAGCCTCCCGAGTAGCTGGGACTACAGGCATGTGCCACCATGCCCGGCTAATTTTTTCTATATATATTTTTAGCTGGTCAATTAATTTATTTCTATTTTTGGTAGAGACGGGGTCTCACTCAGGCTGGTTTTGAACTCCTGACCTTGAGCAATCCGCCCGCCTCGGCCTCCCAAAGTGCTAGGATTACAGGCGTGAGCCACCGCGCCCGGCCAAGTTCTCAGATTTTATTACTTCAAATATTCTGCTCTGCCATCTCTTTCTTCTTCTTGTATTTCAATTAATACTACATTTTTTGAAAGTGCCGTATAGTCCTTGGATGTTGTGTTTTTTATTATTCTCTTTTTTTCTTTGCATTTGAGTCTGGAAGTTTGTATCAGCCTTTCTTCAAGCTCACTGATTCTTTCCTCAACCTTGTCAAATTTCCTTATGAGCCCATCAAAGGAACTCTTCATGTATGTTGCAATGATTTTACTTCTAGCATTTCCTTTCAGTTTTTTCTTAGAATTTCCAACTATCTGCTTTTACTATTAATCCATTCTTGAATTTGATCTTGTCTACTTTTTCCCTTCGATTCCATTACATATTAATCATAGTAATCTTAAGTTCCCTGTCTAATAATTCAAAATCTATCTCCTATCTGAGTCCAGCTATGGTGCTTGCTTTATCTTTTCAAGCTCTGTTTTTCTATCTTCTTGGAATGCTTTGGAATCTTTTGTTGGATGATGAACAGGTTGTATCAGGTAATAGGAACTGAGGCAAATAGTCCTGGAGCGTGAAGCTGTATGCCACTCTGATTAGCAGGTGGGCTTTGTTCAATGTTTTCTATAGCTATAAAAGAAGCTTCCAATTCTTCTAGATTCTCATGATTTCTATTACCCTCCCCCTGCCAGAGCTATAGAGGATCTATCTCAGTTCTTCACCATGAAAACCTGGTGGGATTCCTCCAGGTAAAGCTCACAAAAATGAAAGGGCTTCTGGGTGTTTCTCCTCATGCAAGTCTATACTCAGCCTCCAGAAATTCATTACCTTTTGAGTGCTTCTTAACCTTTAACCAGTGTATGTCTTCCAGTTTCTGCTCCAGGTAGGCAGATATCAGCTGGGACCCTCCGCATTCACCTTTCTCTCCAGATTTAGGGTAGCACATTTGCCCTGTGAAGTCATTTTGCAGTGAGACTGAGTCAATAAATAAGTCTAAAATGTCAACAAATACAGTGAACTTAACCAACAAACTGTAATAATGCTCTTTTCTATTTGCTAAAGCAGATATTATTCAGAGACTATTTTAGAAACTTAGTAAGAAAATCATAATTTCTATAAAAAGCTATGTATATGTTTCCAAATTAAACCATAATATGCTCAGGAGGAATATTCTTTAAAGAAAAGTTTTGTTATTCATCGAAGCCTGGATACAGTTTCACTTCAGAAAAACCACAGGAATCCTATAAATCGAATGACATCCCATGAGCTTACCAAATTATTTTTAAAGTTGAATTACAAAAGAAGAAATAATACACTTGCATGTATGGAAGATGCCTCCCTCCTTTAACTAGCTTTGTTTAAGTTTATTGTGCTTTTAATCGCCATTGCACTGAATACTAGGAAAAGATGATAACATAGTACAAAAGATGGTAAACAGTAACATTTTTCATTTCAGAAAATTTTCCTTTTCTTTGAACCTACTTATGAGTAGGGCCTTTGGAATTATTCCACATATGCACATGAAAGCAGAATCTGGAAATCTTCTCTGTGAACAAACCATGAACATCTTGTTAATTTAACTTCCCAAGACATCAAGGAAAGAACAAAGAATTGAAATTACTATTTATTTTCTATTCCATTTATTGGCTTTGGGCCACTGACAATTGAGAAAGTTACATGCAGAGAAACTTTTTTCAATCTATGTCTCAGCAGAAATAGAAATCAAAACAGCGCAAGGTACTCTTTCGGGAACAGTGCTGGGAAGATCACCAGAGAAAGTGTTCCCTCTCTGTGAGAGTCCTTTCTTTCTGTGCCTTCCACTAATCACAGACCTCCTGATTTTCCTGGTTGGACTCTGGAGCATGTGACATTACCAAATGATTTCTGGAATCCAACTATTTTAGATCTAGAAAAGATGTCAGAGTTAAATATTCCTTACTCATTTCTCGAAAGAGAAGCTGGAGCCCTGTAGGAGGTAAATCACCTGCCCAAACCCACACGGCCAGAGCAGACACAGGCCTGATGCCACTTCTCCCTGCGGCCATCTTTCCTTGAGAGGAGCAAACCAACCAACGGAAACACTGAGTGACTCCTATGTGGACCTGCCTGATTCTCTAGTTTTATCTTGTTGGCAAAGGGGGGGTTTTGAGGGAAGTTTGAGTCACTTATTTCAGTATACTCCCTTCCGTTAAGCTCTCCTTTGAATCACATGTGTTTTTCCTTTGGCCTTTAGCTGCCATTGCACTGCAAATAAAAATAACCCCAGTTCTTAATGTGCACATTTGCAGCAAGAACACTTGATTATAACTCTCTCCATCAGTCCTATCTGCAAAGGCCACAGCCCTGTGCTCAGCACCCCCAGCCTCCCTGGGGGGCTTTACTTCTTTGCATGGGGAGTTAGCTCCTCCCTTGGCGATGGACCAAGTGTGAACATCCTGCTTATATAACAAGCCCCCTTTCCTCTGCAGACCAAATGAGCTCTTGGGCTCTGTGGCAAGACAGTTGGCCATGCTCACTGCTCCTGGACTGGGGACACAGTCAGACAGCCACTTTGTCATGATGCTCCCAGCTCCTGGCTGGGCTTGTGTGCTGTGGCTCCAATTCAGGGGCTGGCTCGTCCTGTTTATGGCATTTGGAATCTTTCTCCTTATGGGTTTGGATTTGTCCAGCTTTTATCTTGGGGATGTTTACTTTCTGCATCCAATCCTCTCTCCAACTCAGTCAATATTTGCTTTCTGTGTCACCGCTCTTCCCTTGCTAGGTGTTTATCTTACTTTTTACCTTTCTGGCTCATTTTCACTCCCTTTTAATTCTCTCACTGTTAAATTTCTTTTAAAATTTTATACTCAAAATGACCGTTGATTTCTCCTCGGGTCCCTTCAGCTGACCCCTGACTCTGAATCCTCCTTGTTCCTGTGAACAACAGCTCTGTCTATCCCCATGTCACCATATAGCACAAAATAATAAACTCTTAGACACTCAAGTATTTTTTTTTATCTGATCCTCCATCTGAGAAATGGTATGTATATTTTCATGAAGACCCTGACCAGCAAGATCATAACCCTGGAGGGGAGCCCAGTGATGCCATCGAAAATGTGAAGGCCAAGATCCAGGCTAAAGAAGGTGTTTCCCCAACCTGCAGAGGCTCACCTTTGCAGGTAAGCAGCTAGCAAATGGCTGCACTCTTTCTGACTACAGCATCCAGAAAGAGTCAGCCCTGCACCTGGTCTTCCATCTGAGGGGTGGCTGTTAATTCTTCAATCTTGCATTCACAGTGCCCAATGATGGTATTACTCTGCACTATAGCCATTGCCCCAATTTAAGTTTAGAAATTATCATTATTGGTAATAGCTGAACCTGTTCAAAATGTTAATAAAAGTTTTGGTGCACAGTGAAAACAAAACAAAACAAAAACATAAATTTTGTCTATTGGTGAAAATAGAGTCTGCCTGAAAAACACTAGGAAAATAAGATGAGGATGTCACTTAGCAACAAATACTCCCCAAATTCCTCAGCTTCAAAGAAATTTTGCCCACTCTGACAATGGTTAAATGATGCATCTGGAATCAATGACTTAAGAACTTCCCTGCCTCTAACATCAATAAGAAATGACTCACACTTCACACCTGTTGTTTCTTCTGCAAGGAAGGCTCTTTCTCCTAGTCATGGCCTCGTTATTTCTTGCTCAGATTTCAAGTCATGAATGAATAGCACCTCTCCAGAAAAGCATGCCCTGACCCTCCAGTCTAAATTATATACTTTGATTTGATCCTCAAGTCTGTAGCCCAGACCTGTCCTTTGTATTCTCCACTCCGACATCCAGCTGCATGATGTCCTCGTCAGATGTCCCAATAGGCATCTTAAACTTAACAATATGCATTGAACTCTTCACTTTTTGACCACCAATTCTACCTCGCCAGCCCCACCTGTAACCTTGTTCTGTTTCCACTTTCCATTTGTTTAAAGAGTACTTGCATCGCACCATGCAGTTTGCATCCAAAGAATCACAGAAGGTTTTGTCAATGGAAGAAACTCATTGCATCTGAATCCTTAGAATAAAATGTTCACTTAGAATCAAGTTGGAAGGTCATTTCATATATATATATATATATACATATATATATGTATGTATATATATATGTACATATATATGTATTATACACACATGCATTTATTATAAGGAATTGGTTCATGTGATTGTGGACACAGGCAAATTCCCCAGATTTGCAGGGTGAATTGGCAAGCTAGAGACCCAGAAAAGCCAATGGTTTAGTTCCGGTCTGAATGCCAGCAGGCTCAAGACTCATGGTAGCTGATGTTTCAGTCCAATTCCAAAAGCAGGAATAATTCTATGTTACTTGGAAGAGGATCAGCCTTTTGCTCTATTCAGGCCTTCAACTGATTGCATGAGGCCCACCCACATTAGGGAGGACAATCTGTCTTACTCAATCTGCCAATTTAAATGTTAATCTCCTCCAAAAACACCCTTCCAGAACCACCAGACTACTGTTTCACCAAATATTTGGGTTGTATGGTCCAGTTGAATTGGCACATGAAGTTAACCATCACAGAGGGCAAGTGTAGCATACTCCTGGGATCCACTTTTACCAGGTCAGAGAGCCCTTCCCTTGGCTTCTGATGGCCTGAATCTGCGCCTCTTTTCACAGGACACCCTGGGGCTACTGGAGCCACACTGGCCACACGGAGCAGACAGGCAGCGAGCACAGAGACCTGGATGTTCTTAGGAAATTATCTTCCCCCAGGGTAGCCCTAGGTTGTTGACTGACTAACAGATGATGCCGGAGTAGGAAGGCCCAGTGTCATTACTTCAATTTGGGTTCAAGTTAGGACTTCCTTCAATCCCTTACTGGGTCCTTCCAGGATCAATTCTTTCATAAAATACTTGCACATAAATTCTTATCTCAGGTTCTGCTTCTTAGGGAAACTGGCCTGAGAAAACAGCCTTTCTCATAGTACCTTGTTGGCTGCTGTCACTTTCTTCCTGAAGTTGAGCCCCACCGGAGTTTAAGGAGATGATCTAAAGTTTTCTAAAGCTTTTGCGTCATCAAATGGTCAAGTAAAAGCATCCTTTCTGTTTGGAATCACTAAGAAGCAAACCTCCAAGCTAGGAAGGTGTGAGCTCTGGAATAAGCATATACCTCTGGTCGTCTATGGGCACATTCAATCTCGCTAGAATGTCCTCTGGCAGAGAACCCCTTTCCCTCAAACCACCCAGAAGGAGAATTAGGGGGAGACTGCTGTTTGCTAAATTGTATGCTTTGCTGTGAAATGAGAACACCAGGAGGAAGCCAGCTCTGATAATGACAAGATCCAGTTAGCATTTAATTTACACACATGCTGATCTATTTCATAACTGCAGGTTGCTGGTGAGGTATGCCTTCCCTCCTGGAGCCCTCGGTGACTGCAAAAGGTAATTACTGAAACGGCTCAGCTCTGCTCATGATATGGAAGCCTCACATTTCTTGAAATGACTTAACCTGCGGTGTGCTGAGCTTTCCCTGAAGAGAACTGGGAGCCAGAAACCCATGTCAATGAGTGAAATATTCCTTTTCTTCACTCAGGTATATGAGCTTACTGTAATTACCTTTCTGGTCTGTTCATTGCAAGTAGGTACCCAGGAGAGTGGGAAACACAGTCCTTTAAAGAGCCTGATGATAAACACGGTCAAAGAAAGCCCTTGAGAAAACGGTTGCACAGTGTTCTTGAAGCCAAGGCATCTCAAGGGATTTTCTGCTGGTCGATGAATCTGGGTCCTCGTAAGCTGCAGAACTTGGAGCACATGAGCACACACACATGCACACGCTCACACTCACAGAGCTATTGCTCTTTAAAAATCTAATGCCTGGAGTTTCTCACGGGGAATGCCGACATACTATGAGAAAGGAGAACAAAAGAGGAGCCATGGGTGACTCAATGAGCATTTCACACATCAAAGTAAGTGGCCAGAAGATAGCCAAAACCACTGCCCCTCATCTTCCACCACATGCCTCACCCTCTGGCCAAGTTTCCTTCCCATCCCAAATTTGGCCTCTTGGCCTTCCCTGACCTTGACTTCTGGACCAAGGCTTCACAGGAGATGAGACCCCTTTCTGTGAAGTGAAGTAGAAGTTCACCAGCTAGAGTCAGCCAGCAGGATACCCAGCCAAAGCAACAGCAATAAAAAGTCACAGGGGCTGGAACTGGAGCCACATGTTGGGGAACTATGATTAGTTCATTACAGCTCAGCTCTAGAAGACAAGGAAGAACAGGCAGGCCAAGTCCAGCTCAAGGAGAAATCCGTATGCTGAGCAAGAGCCTGGATTTAAGTAGGTATCACAGGGCTTCAGTCAGGGGAGAGACACGATCCCATAAGGTTTGCAGAAAGCTCCTGGGGGCAGTAGGGGTGGATGATGAATTGATGGGACATTATTGGAGGCAGGAAGGCTGGATAGCGCTGTTGTGGTGTGACAGCCCAGAGGGAAGTGCCAGAATACAGGATGGGAGAAGAGGGTGGGTCACAGTCACATGGTTGAATAGAACTGGTGGGAAGAAAGGGTTTTGGAGGTGACGTCATTATAAGTGCAGATGGCACTGTGGCGGGAACCCAAAAGGCCAATCTCCTGCAGCCTGTCCTTACCTCTGGAATGAGTGTTGGGTATATTCTGAGTGCTCCCTAATTACTTGCTGACTCAATTGATCCGATATTCATCTCTCATCTCAGCCCTTCTTCTGTAGAAAGCCCTCACCAGCAGTAAAATGATGAAACAGCAAATAATGTCACCTTGGTGGGTCTCGTAAATTTTCTGAATCTCTGTTCCTGCATTTATAAAATGAGGTGGCTGAACCAGGATCTCTGTTGATCGCCTCCAGCTCAAATACTCCAAGGCAGCCAATGCGCAGGAGTCTGAGCTGCCAGCGGCCTTCTGGGGGATGTTGGCAGAACTCTTGGGAGATGATTAGGCTGGGAGAGAACCTCCCCATGGCCCCCTCCAAAGCCAGGGCTAACCAAGGAGAGCTGCATTGATTGATTGTATTTGTGTTATTCACAGGCACTGAAACAGTCGTTTCTGCAATTCCCTTTAGTAGAGGAAATAAAAATGAGCCCTGTTGCGGGGGAAGGGGGAGGCTGTGTTTCCAAGGTAAGCTCACTGGTGGTGTAAAATTGTGTTTTTATTTAAAGTGAATTTCCAGTTGGCTGAATTTATGCTGCCTTTGATACCTACTCAGTGCTTTCAATACCACCTGCTTCTCCTGGCTTTGTTTTCCCCAAGCCTGAGAGGGGATCCCTTGACTGCTGATTAAAAGCTCTTCAGCAACAGCCTGTGAGTATTTCACTGATAACATTCTCTTGACTGCTTCATCAGGGCTGCCCTGGTGCAGGTGGGAGCCTGTGGCTGGGTCTCTCCAGACAGGTGTCCCTAGCTCTGGCCTTGAGCCTTCGGGATCTTACATGCAAAGAACCTAAAAGGAGGACAGGAAGGTTCCCAGGGCAGTCTTGTCCCAGACTTCACCCTTGCTTGAATCACTTTTCCGTTTTATACCTCGGCTCACCGGCACCCGCTTCCCCTTGTCAATTCCGTGAAGTGAGTAGGAGGTTATATGGTGAACACTGTGTGCTCCTGGCTTAAAAGAGAAAGAAAGGAGAGGTTCTGTATAGTTCTGCAGGGATTTCAAAGCTAACCCTTGCCGACTGTGTGGAGGGAGGCAGGGCTCACATATAAGTGAGCTCTCAGGGCTGGAATTTCCCTGGGTGGAAGTGCTGGGCTCAGAAGCTTTGGTCCAGCTTCACAGCTCCTTCATCTACAAAATCACACAGAGCTGTTACATAATCTCTGCTGCCTCTTGCAGGTCTGAGATTCCTGGAAACATACCCTAGTTGTTAATATCCGTTGTTCTTGTTCAGTGAGATTGATACCTAGAAGCCAAGGGAGAAACACGAGTGCCCTTGGGTCTTTCTACCTGCATGCTTGAGTGAGAGCTGTCCAAGGTGCTAAGGAGCTAGAGGGAACAAAATCATTTATCATGCAAACTAGGCAACTTCAGAAAATGAAAAAGCATGCTCTGGGTATTTCTACCAGGACAACAGGCCTAGACTGGAACAATTCAAAGCACTGTGTCTCTGGGTGCAAAGCTCCTTGTTACTAATATTTGAATATTCTCACTGAGGTTTCTTCACAGTTTGTACCTGGAGAACAGAAATGATGATTACATGGAGAACCTTGTTCTGACCCCTAAGATGAAGTGGGTGGGTTTGATTCCTTGTTACCAAGGTAACCTCTTTCAATAAGCCTTGAAAAGATAATTACTCTGTGTGAAGACTTTTCTGCTTTGCATGGCGCACCAATACAGTTCAGAGACAATACATTTCCATACGAAACGACAGACACAGGCAGGATCGCCTTGATTTTATGAAGTGCAACTATTCAAAGTATAAACATCTGTCTATAAAAGGACTTAATCGGCTTTAGTTTATGTGTCTTGTCTTAATATATAAGATACAATTTTAGAACTATAAGGATTTAAAACAATAAACATGCCCAATTTCCCCATTTTACAAATGATGAAACTGGGGCCTAGAAAAATTAAACTATCAGCCCAATGTCTCAGAGTATGTTAACTGCAGATGTCAGATTAAAAATTGGATTTCTTGACTCTTAGTCTCGTACTCCTCTCATCATTTGTGTATTTTTTATGACTATCTTCTAAGGAAGCAGAATGGATTCTTAAAATATAATAGTATTTTTAATTCTTGAGAGTAGCAATTAGTAATTGACAATAATTCAAAAATATAGAGGAGCACAAATTATAGTAAAATGTCATATAGTCCTGCCATCCAAAAATAACCAGTTAATTTTTCATACATATATTAATATATATCCTTCCAATCTCGTTTCTGTAATATTTAAAGAGAGAGACCACGGTGTACTATAGTTTGGTCTCCTTTTTTTTCCTGTAATGTTTTATTATAAGTATGTGTTCTGTGTAATTAAATTTGCATTGGCAGGAGCATCTTACTGACACAGTTTATCTCCCATCACAGTAGCTTTTACTCATGTGGACTTGATGAACTTCACTCTCAAATTGGGCCTACAGTGAATTTCTTATTCCTCAAAGGTCACCCTCAATTTTCTCCAGATACAACTCTAATGAGTCCTACAATCCAAAAAAAGAAAAACCATCTTAGTCATGGCCTAAGGAAAAGAAGTCAAACCCACACCTTTTAGACAGCAGGAAAGTTGTTCAGTGTTGTTTATGATAAGAGAAATATATATCAAAAATGCAATTATTGTTTTTCTCTTATTAAATTGAAAAAAGTTCAACAAGTCTGACAGTACACTCCATTGGAGAGCATGCAACATGTGGGGAAACCAGCACTCTTGTGTGTTGCTAGTGGGAAGGGAAATCAGTACAGCTTCTGTGAAGACAAATTGAGCAAAATCTATTAAAATTATAATACATATATCTTTCAATTGAACAATATCTTTCCAATGCTGGGAAATATCATTCATATTTATTTTCCCAAGTGCAAAATGGTATGAGCTTGAGATTAATGATTATGTCATAGTCTTTTTAAATTTTTATTTTTATTTTTAATTATTATGGGTACATAATAGCTATATATCATTATAGGGTACATGTGACATTTTGATACAGGTATGCAATGTGAATTAATCAAATCAGGGCAATTGGGTATCCATCACCTCCAGCATTTAACATTTCTTTGTGTTAGGAACATTCTAATTCTACTCTTTTAGTTGAAGTATGCCCTAACTTATTGTTGATTATAGTCACTTTGCTGTGAGAAAGACTGGAAATGCCTTAAATGCCCATAAATAGGGAATCAGTGGCTTATCCATAGAATGCAAAACCCTGTAGCTACAAAGAATGTGGCCTTTTGCATACTGATGTGGGGCAAGTTCCAAGAGCTAATGTTAAGTGGGAAAAGCCAAAGCATAGGATGATGCATACAGTGTGTTGCCATTTATGGAAGATAAGAAAAGCATTAAATCTCTCAAGAATGCACAAGAGACTCATGTCATTTAGAATCTTGGGTACCATGGAAACTGATATCCTTGAACAGGTAGCAACTTGGGTTCAAGTTCTGACAAACGGCCACTCACTAACAGCTCCCAGGTTGTCCTATTCATGTCACTTCTAGTGTTCATACAAGTTTGCTTTTTCTTTTTTATCTTTCATTTTCTTTCCCCTGTGGGTGGCTGCTCTCCTCATCAAGGAGATTGAGAAAATTCAGTAGTGTTTAATAAAGGCTATAGAAAATGGTAACTTCTGTGTTAGGATAGGACTTGATTCTCTAGATGAACACTTGTGTTTGGCCTTTTATAAACAAACCATTTGACATGAGCCCTAAATTAGCCCACAATCAAACAAGGAGGCTGAAAATAAAGGGAAGATTATGGTCATAATCTTCTCAATTGCTGTTCACGACTGGACACCAGTGATTTGGGCAAAGAAGTTCTCCTACAAATAGTGGCTGAGCAACTGCGACAAGAAAGCCTGGACTTAGAGCCTTATTATATTCTGGCATAAGGAAGTCATTTTTCCTAATGCCTCTCTCAGCCACACACAGATGTTTTCCAAGCTGGCTCCGACCTTTAAAGGGTAAAGCAATAAGTCTCCTATTACAAGAAAGAGTCCGACAGGCTGCAGCCAGTGACTATCCGCTCTGTTCGGCAAAAGGATGGCCCGTGAGTCAGGGCACCAGGGCTGTCGCTGTCCTTCTCCAGTTATTGTGGCTTTGTCTTCTCCCTTTAAATCAGCCTTCCTGTGGCACAGAAGTTGATGTCTTTCACACGTTCATACCTTCTGCTGTAAGTATGAATAAAAACAGATCCTCCCATTACATGGCTTAGCCAGTTTTGCAGAGCTTTAGCAATCTTGAAGTCTATTCTGTTTAATTAAAAATATATTTTTCTTCTTCTGTGTGTCCATGAATTGCTGAGGGCAAGAAACTCAAAGTCCAGGTTCTCCAAGATAAAGATTTCTATTGTTTTTTGTGCCACCTGATATTCCTGTGAGAGATAGTATTAAGATTCCCTCCACAACCTTTCAGCACTCACTTCTACATACTAAAAGCCAAATGCTAGTGATTCTCTGCCCAAGTGATTCTTCTTGCCTGCATACAGGGCAAGCCAAAAGAGCCAGAGATCTCCAGAAGCAGCCCTCAACCAATGATGAACAGGGAGTTGGTCCCTAATGATCTCGGTTTTCTCATTCTTTTATTGTGATAACTTAGGCATGTTCTGCACAGTCTCCCAGAGTTCCCCAGGTGGATATTACTCCAGTTGCACAAAGTGGGAACCTGCCAGATCATACATAGAGTTACAAATGCATCAGAGATAAATGAGGTAGCAAGAGTTTCACTTCTAGTAATATTATATAATGAGATATCAAGAGAAATCCTAGTTAATAATACATGTACCATCCAATACTGAATTTATTTAAAAAGCAGATATTTTTGTAAAATTCATAGATGAGCTGACAGGTGAAAAAATAAGGGAATTCCTTGAAGAGTAGAAATAACAACAAAAAAGCCAAATTTGAAGAAGCAAGCAATGCCAGAACTAGCATTTTCTCCATTTTCTCTGTGTACTTCTGATTTCAGGTACTCTAAATCATGAATTTTTGATAGGGAACAGGAGTGAAAATGTGGGTCCAAACTGAGTGGAGTCTGATGAAACATCCAGCTTAAGGCTGGGCCCTTCACAAGGCAATGTTCTTAGGTGTAGATAAGGAAAATACCCTTCCAAGGGGAAAGATGATGGTGGTATACTCAGATCTTGGGCATGGGAGGTACATTAATGATAATAATAATTTTTAAAGAAACTTCCTTAAACATCTTTGACTATAACCATCATCACCAAGTTGGGAACCTAATTTACTTAACCTATGCCTCCTGAAATAATCCAAACCCTGACTATAAATTAAAGTGTTCCTAGGTTAGTAGTAACCTAAACAACTGGCAGAAACAATGGCACATCCTTTCTGGAGGATTATCATCTTGACTCAAAACTCCAAAGCATTTCCAAAGACAAAGTTCTCAGAAAAATGAGCTCACAATCAAACATCATCAAACACATGAGAAACAAGGTGCCATGAGTGACAGCCAGGAAAAATAATAACTAAGATAGCCAGACTGGCAATAACTGCAGGTATTGGAATTAAACAGACACAGAATATAAGATACATAGGTTTAATAAATGAACAGATACAAAAGAGTTGGAAATACGATGAAGGAATAAAAGACACTCAAAGTTGACCAGGTATTTTTTAGAAAAGAACCAAAGATAAATTCTGAAGAAAACTGTCTATAATTAAAGTTAGAGACTCCATGGGTGGGAGAACCAGCAGATTAGATACAGTGAGATGAGAGCTCACAAGTGGGAAAACGGATCTGAAAAATGTACCAAGAGATGTGCGGAAGAATGCAGCACAGAGAGGCAGTGTGTGAAGCATAGGGTGACAAGGTCCAACATGTGTAATCAAGGTTCCAGGAAAAAATCAGAAGCAGTGGTAATGCTTCTGAATTACCTGAAGAGATAATGACTGAGAAATTTCCAGAACTATTTGCTGAAAGAATTACATTCATCCTCACCTGCAGAAAGGCAGAAAGCACATTGACTCCAATGAAAAAAATAAATAAAAAGAAACTCATATGTAGATATATCCTAGTAAAACTACACAATATCATATATTTTTTTAAAAAGCCAGAAAAAAGACAAAGATATGTCAATTATAAAGAGAGCTGCTGTATCAATGACAAGAGAAGGCACATAAATTATCAATTTGGAATAAAATATCAATGGGCTAAGAGAAAAATAACTGTCAGCATAGAATTATACAGCTAGAAAAGATAAATTTGGGATATAAAAGAAAAGGTTAAATAGAGATATTTTCAGACAAACAAAATAGAGACTTTTTGTCAATAGACTCTAACTATGGAAATTTCAAAAAGAAAAAAAAAATGGTGCCCAGAAAATCTAAGATGTAAGAAGGAATGACAAACAAAGAAAATAAGTATGTTCAAGTCCTTTGCCCATTTTTAATAGGGTTATTTGATTTTTTCTTGCTGATTTTCGTGAGTTCTAAGTATATTCTAGTTATCAACCCCTTATCGAATGCGTAGGATGCAAAAATTTTCTCCCACTCTGTAAGTTGTCTGTTTACTCTCATGACTGTTTCTTTGGCTGTGCAGAGCTTTTTAGTTTGATCATGTTCCATTTATTTATTTTTGTTGCTGCTGTGATTGCCTTTGGGGACTTCTTCATAAACTCTTTGCCTAGGCCGATGTCGAGGAGAGTGTTCCAGACATTTTCCTCTAGAATTCTAATAGTTTCGTAGCTTAGGTTTAAGTCTGTACTATTCAGCTCTAAGAAACAACGGTGATATAGCACATCTTGTATTTTCCTGGTTAGAGCTGGAACCCATACTACTAAGTGAAGTATCCCAAGATTGGAAAAACAAGCACCAGATATACTCACCAGAAAACTGGTATTAAATGAGCAGCACCTAAGTGGACACATAGGTACTACAGTA